TGTGTACACCCCCCCCCTCCCCACCACTTTTAAAGAGGAAGTAAAGTAAGTGATGCAGGATCTTTATAATATATAGTCCTTCCAATGATATACTCAAATATTTCCTTCAATTTTTGTGAATATGTCAATAACACTTTGTATCGTTCTTCTCTTTCTATTTCATACAACATAGCATCGCACTTGCATTGCTTACGATGCAAGAAAAGCAATCTCTAATCATGCTAGACGCTGTTCAAATAGAAACATGAAAAGAAAGTAACATGCTTGACTTTTACGTCTTTAATTGAAAAAAAAAAAGAATAATTACATTCATATGCTTATTGATTGAAATCAAGACTTCATTTGGCGTCTTAAGTAGAAAAATTGAAAGTTTGTCAGAACTTGCATATTTTCTCCGAAAATTGAGTGCCTTCGTTCGAATTTAGATTTGAATTTTGTCTTTTTAAAACTTTAAGATGAATACAATGAAACTTTTTAGCCTTTTTTGATTTAGAGAAGAAGACAATTTAATATGTTCAACAATATTTTGATCGGTGTTCAATCGGTGCCATTATCACAGGTGGTGCTGGGATTCTATAATGGGTTTCCGGTTACATAAAACGTTTAAAATTTCATATCAAGGAGAATAAAAAAAAAACTTAGTGTGAAGATATCCTTAGGTCTAATTTGATAGTAAAACACTGTTTGAATAAGTATCTTTAAAATATTTAAGTAAATGTTTGTAATTTGTTACATTATGTAACTACGTGGAGTGTATTTTGTTGAAGCACACAATCCCTTAAAAAGCAAACAATAATATTCATAATTAATTTGACAATATTAACTTAGATAGCTACAAGTATCCTATCACGTACAAAGATTTACTTTTTTATATAATTCAAATGTTAACTTGTGAAGAATAATATCGGCAGACAAAATATACTACCACCCCCACCCCCCTTTCAATTTTATTCGCAATTAAAAAAAAAGTTTGACTACAGAAAACTCTACGACCTGGCGAAAATGCATGAGAAAGGGTCTCTCTTATAAAATATAACTTTCAGCCGTAGGGTATGTCGGTGCATTAAACTCGAAAAATAAGCGTCTTTTTCTAGGTTTGTCACTGCACTATAACTGACATTTGTTTAAAATAGCAACACCAATGCGGAATACCTGGAATAAGAAATAGCGAAGAGTCAACTTAAGAAATTCTATAAATAACATACTGGGCAAAATGGAAGTTTTAACTAATCCCTAATCGTTTGTTTACTAAATTGTGGGATTTTGTTCTGGTATTAATTTTCTAATGGAATCATATAAACAGAATTCAAAAATACGCTTGAATTAATAAGAACATAAAAGTGAAGCATTATTATTGTATGTCAAAAACTTTATTATAAATACGGAGTCGAAACCCTTGATCAATATTTAGCAGAAGGAAACCAATGTTATCTTGCAAAATGACAAAAAAGAGTACTTTACCTTCCTTTTTTGATGTTTAAGTCAACTGCTTTAATGATATTTTACCGCTTTCCTTTCAAATTGTCAGATGTCAATTAGACGTTTTTACCTGAACATCAGTCAAGTGCCTTTAATCCATGCACATATTTTGATTAAATTTTGACAAGAGCATGGTTAAACTTTTTCAAGGTAAGAAAATACTATTTGAATAGCTTGAGAAATATTGCCATAGAATGTTTCTGGTGTCAATTTCTTTCGGCATCAGACTTTATAATAAAATAACACATAGGCATGGGATGGATTCCCATGATTTCATTCAGCAGACCGTTGTCTTGTGACGAATAATAACAAAACCTATTTAATCGTTTTGGTAATTTTTAAACACGAGTGAAGGCAAATGACATCATTTGAAGAGTGACAGAAGTTCGAATCATTTATAATTTTGAGGATTACTGCGTTATCGATGACTTTTCAAACCCTATAAAAGCGAATTTCGTCTTGGTTTGTGACATTTTGCTCTTTTAAGAATATATATGTGAAAAGAATGGCTGGTCTTAGTACAAGTAATTAGGATTAGTATATCTTCTAAATACACTATTATTCCTTATAAGCTATATACACTATTATTCCTTAAAGTCTATATTTCTTTATAAAGTACTTCTTTGTACTTCTTAACAGGTGAAGGCAATATTATTTGAAAATAATTGTTGTCCGGAATTTTTTTTTCCTTCAAGTTTTAACCTCGTTAATTTTTTAACGTTTAAACACGAGGCACAACACTTTGCTGATTTCCTTAATAATTTAACAGTAGAGCAGTAAATGTTCTATGCAAAATTAACATATCCTTGTTCAACTAATTTTCATTTTATGAAACAGATTCGATTTGTTTACTGCTCTTGGATATATAATTTAATGACCATAGTTTCGTAATAGAAGGACCATGTCATAATCGTTAAGATATAAATTATGAGAAAAAACTGCTTCGTACATGAAGTATACCAAAGCTATGTCGATTTTGTCAACATTTGATTTTTAAATTTTATTTTATTTTTATTTTTGTAATTTTTCTTTTATTATTATTATTTTTTTTTTTTTTTGTTAAAAATAAATACCAACATTAATTGTTGAATAAAAATATAATTCGTAGAATGAGGAACAGACTAAAGGAAGATAAAGAAAGATAATCTGCACAAGAAATTACAAAATACTCTTGTTTTCACTACTCTTTCTCTCTCTCTCTCTCTCTCTCTCTCTCTCTCTCTCTCTCTCTCTGAATTACAATAAAAATACACTTGATTAAAAAATTCATCTTTAAAAAGGAAAAAAAATGTATTAAGTATCATTTTCTTGCATGATTTTGAATTCTATGTATTAATCAACCGCATATTAAATATTCTTGATTTGTACAAATTTTATTTTTAAAAAATAGTATACATTAACTAGATTAAAATGCATGTTAACCCGAAATTTTCTGTATTTTTAAAACTTTGTTTTCCGAAAGTTGGTTCCATGCGCTGAACCTGTGGACGTGTGCATACTAAATAGTATTACATGAATAATTATGGATATTATTTTCAAAATTCATTCTGTTTATGAAAGCAGCAATCACGGGTTTCCTTTCATGCGTTCTATACGTTCAAGAATTCTGTTATACACTCTGCAGAATCTGGCTTTTAGTTGAATGCTTTCAAATGCCCGTAACCAAAGAGTCTGTTCAGCAGAATCGATCAGCAAAATAACCAGTAAAATATGGACTGTTCTATGAAGCAAGGATGACCAACTGTTATCAAAAAAGTACGTTTTCAAACCCTCGTAGAAATTGAAAGGGAAGTTCATGAGGATTCTGCCGATACCCAGTGGCATGTAACAAATAGCAAGTAAAATGTCATAAAGTTCAAAGATGACTATTTCAACAATTAACCTGTAAATACTTTTCACTGGCATAAAGATTGTTATCAGTACAATGTACAGGATTTCCCATATTATAAGAATCAGATCACGGCATGGAGGATACACTATTGACCGCAGGAATCCTGCTGAACTCGGAATATCAACAATGATGAAGACAAGGATCAAGATAAACACGTACATTTTGCTTCTTTCTGCGTAGTTTGGTGCGTCAGTTGTAATTTCTGTGAAGAGTTTTTAAAGTACAATTTTATTGAAGATTCAATACACCTTTGAAACTTTCAAAGTTAATTTTATAACAACTAATAAAATACATTTGTCAAAATACCTTCTTATCGATAACATACGAATTCTTTCCCGGAAAAGAATGGGAAATGTGTTTTAGAGGTTTATAGGAAAAGCCATGTACAGACCAAAGTCATATAAATTGAAGGACATTTCATAAATTTAAGGATACACCAAAGGTTTCCAAATGCCAGAATGAAATTTGCAGTCCCTCTCTAGAATTTTTCATTCATGTGCTGACGCCACCATTTACCGGTTGAAAGCTGCAAATTTTGACTTATACTCGGCACTCAAGGCCATTGGGGATCGAGGGATCTTTTTTTCGTGCCAGCACCTACTGCGACACGGGACCTCGGCTTATACGGTCTCATCCGAAGGACCGACTCCACGTCCCACAGTGGGACTCAAACCCGCGACGTAAGGATCAACTCCTTACTCCGCGACTCTAGAGCAGATGCTCTACCATTGCGCCACGCGGGCGACCAAGGTAGATTAAAGATTGAACTTAAAAACAGTTTCTCAGATTTTTGATAAATCTTCTAATTCCAGAAGTACAGCCGTTTGCAATTCTAGGTTACCAATTTATTAACTAATTAAACGTTTCCCTCAATAATTTTAAAAGTAAGCAAAATATAAAAAATCCGTGTTGTGAACAAACATTTGAAAAGCAACCCAGTCAATTTTCAGCAAAATTGGTCTTTAAATAAGGGAGCTGAATCCTTTGAAATAATACAACAAACTCTTTGATCTTCCTTTACTGTAAAGGGAAAATAACATAACAAAACAAGATCTGCCAAAGCAAGAAATATATGACATCTTGGAGATTCAGCTTTGGCTGTCTGTCACATATTCATTTCCTAGTATGCATATTTACAAAATGCTTTCAAGTTAAAATGGTTCAATTCTGAAATAAAAATGGCAGGAGCTAAGCCCCACTTCCTATTTAATGATCAAAACAGGAGCTTCATAATATGCAAGAGTAAGCTTACATAATAAGCAAGTATTTTACATACATTTTAAGACAGTGATTAACTTCTTTCTTAGCTAAAATTCTCAAAATTGTCGAAAATTAGGAGAAAAACATTTTGATGTATCCGTACCTGCGACCATATTATTATTAAATTCTAAAACAAAGATAACTTTTTTAAAAAAGAAAATAGTAAATATATTTGAAAATGAATAACCCTCTGTGCAAGTGTATTTCAGTGTTTAGTCTCAGAGATCTGAATTTTAGAATTGTTAAATAATTTTCATGAATAATCACAAACAATGGAATAATTTACTAAGAATGGAGTCAAAATTGATAAACATATTCGAATCCTTTTAACTTCATTTATTGTATTAGCATCATATTTTTATTTTCTTACCTGCAGCAGTTGGAGACACTTGCTGGGCACGGTTGTATGATTTGATTTGTTCTCGACACAAAGGACACGTACCATTTCGCCAGGCAGAAATACAGCTATAACAAAAGATGTGTCTGCATGGGTTGCAGAAGTAAGGATTTTTAATTCGCTCAAAGCAAATAGGACAAATATCCATTTTATTGATGATTCTTTGGCAAGTACCTAGAAAGAATTAGCTGCAAATATAAAAAAAAAGTTTTCTTTCATGCGGTAAAAACAATATGACAATTTTTCTCTTATATTATCTACCAAATGTCCAAGACCATTTGTAAACTCTGCTGTTCTCTATACATTTACTGGTATTTAATTTTTATTCTATATTTTAATGAAAATTTGCTTATAATATGCTTTAAAAAATCAAGACTTAATTAACATATATCCGAGTCGCAAAGGAATGCAGATGTGACTACTGTCGTTTATATGCTCTAGAAAGGCTTTTAAAGATCCTTTATACACTAAAGAAATTTACACCTCAGAGAAAAGTGCAACAACACTGAGTTACCGATAAAAAAAATTCGTACACTTAAATAAGATAATGTGTATATAAATCTTTTCATTTATTTTAACCTCATATATGTGTAACATGTGAGGTGGTTACTAATTCGATTAAACAATTTTGATTTGAATTCATCTTAATTTAAAGTGTTATCATAGCAAATCACCATAAATGTCAAAGAGCACCCATAGAATTAAAATTAATGTCAATTTAAGGAATATAATAAATGATCTTTCTCTTTGTGCATTTTTTTGTTAAATCTAAATGCTTGTAAATCTGTTTACTACGTGTCGCTCTGCTACTCGTTATTTTATAATACTCCATGTACTTGTATTACCATGCAAAATTAATAATCTTTACTTTTCTTTCGTCATCTTCCCTTACTTATGCAGCAATATACCTCTGCATATGGGATTAATGTTTCCTAGTTAACATCCATGATAACATCTCCTAAAAATTATTAAGGAGCGTTCTGAAAAATGCGCAGAGCATTTCAGAGTAGAACATTAGTAGTGACAGATTTAGAAAATGTTTGCCTTGATATATATTTTAACATAAAACGTTTGGGATATACATTGTATTAAAGACACATGTTACCATTGTGAAGAAAAAAAAACCTAGAAGCATTGTTTACCCAATAAGATTGATAACAATAAATTAAAGAAGTAAATAAATACCAAAAGATATATATGATTAACTGTTTGTAAGATGCTATCAATTTTTATCTTTTTACAGACCTCTTTTCTAATTATCAGATAAACAATTTTTCGAGGCATTGGTGTTTCACACGTTAAAGACCCGTAAGTTCTTCCCATAAAATTTATACGTACAGTTTAAATAATAATAACTTTAGGTACGTACATTTGTATGTAGTTTTGGAAAATATTTTTAATTGCTTTTTTTTAATCAAGAACGAGTAACCGAACTTTCAGTTTAAGCTACAACTCAACTTCTTGTTGGATGCAGGATATTTCCACTTATAAAGGGTTCGATACCCGATGAAATGAACAGCATGGATTATTTTCCTTTCTTGCAATTTGTGAGAATACAAAAAAATTCTTTGCTTCATCAAACAAGCAATACGAGGGTTGTCCAAGAAAAACGTGAACATATTCAACATCGTGTGTTTCACTTATACTATGAATTTAAAAAAATGGCATACACAATACTCAACGTGGTTTTATATAATGCATAAAAATTTCAATAATATGTCTCTAAAAATAACATTTTTCTCAAAAACAAATCTTACAAAATAGCTGTCGGAGCAACACTGACGACGTCAAAACGTTGAATTTATTACGGAATCGTGTGTTTGATAAAATTCGTTTAAAGCATAAATTTGTCACTGTATTTAATTTTCTTTTTGCTACCAAATTATCCATCTCAGGTATTAATTAGTGTTTCCAAAAGATAGCGGAATTAATTCTTTCAATAAACTTTAACAATTCCACAACCCAGATCATAAGTTTGCCTCACTGCTTGCTTAGTTTAACGGCCAACATCACCTATGACGTCCAGCTTCTGCTTTTTAGTGTGTTGGTCTACCAAAAGCTTCTTCTATCGAATAAACAGTCAAGTCATCTTGAACCTCTTAAACTAGGTGTAAATCTGTGTCCAAAATACATGTTTGTGTCGGTCCATAGTTTACATATCTTTTCCCGTACATATCATATCCCGCTCAACAATACTGCTTGATAATTTGGTGTTCTGCATTATCGCCAGACGTCGCTATTTTTGACAATATCTAAGTGAAGGTGATTTTGCATCTAAAGTCATATTTTTTTCACTTCTGATGGGAAATTAATGAAATTTTAAACATGAGTACTGTACTTCAGATTACAGAGTTTTTATGGAGATATTTTTTTTAAAATTATATATCTATTCAGGCAATAAAGAAAACTTAACCATCAATGCCTTTCTAAAACTCAAAAAATTGCTTGCCCCGAGCACCGATATTTTATACCCTTTAAAAGCTAAATTTTCATACATATGTTTTTACAGCATTATAAAATTTTGTCAAAATAGCAATAATTTCATTTCCCAACAAGGTGCAAAAGATGATTTATTTTGGTCGAAGAATTGTTGAAATATTCAATAAGTTCGCGTTTTTTCTGGGAAAACCTTCAAATAAACTTATATTTACAATTGCTTTGTTTTTCTCCTAAGCCAGCTGTGAAATTGATTTAAACACAATTTTCGTGTATACTCCCGCTTAAAAATGTGCACGGAGAATCTCGCTCTAAAATGACGTCACAGTGAGACTACAGAAACGTGAAAAAAATAACGATATAGGACAGCGAATGATTCAAACATTGTGAATAATGTTGGTACTTTTAAACATGTAAGATGTAAATATAAGGAATGTTTTTAAGTTTAGTGTGAATCATTGGTGTGTAAATCACACAGACCTGCACGTAGGCATTTTTTCATGAAGCGCTAAATTGCATTCTTTAAGATTGATTTTTTTAGATGTATCTTAAATAATTTCTCGATAACATATCAAAGTGACAACAAAGAGTAATAGTTTTATATTTGTTAATATGATCAAAATGTTTTAGTACAAAGTTTGGCCTTAAGATAACAGTAGCTGAAAATCTTATTTTTGTGTTGTCACAGTATATCTTATGCTGTCACTTCTCTGAATTACCAAGATGTGATGTTATAATTGCATATGGCATCAAGTTACTGCAAACGTGAGCTTCTATGACGGGCGGGAAAAGTGTCATAAACTTTACAGCTTGTCTTGCATATGTAAATCACATGTAAAGTGGTAGCTTTCACATAGTTGCGAAGCTTTGGAACAAAATTTGGACCTTTCAATGGAGATTTCACAAGCTAATTCAGAGAATTTGAGTACTCCGCTAAGGGAAAAAAGAAGAGCATATGTTGTTCGGGGGGGGGGGGGGGTCGGACTCCCCCTCCACGGATCTGTAGAATTATTAAATGTATACATGTATATTCAAGCAAATCAAAAATGCCAATATGGATATAAAGATTTGATTGCTTATTCTTTAATATATTCTTTTTCTGTGTATAAAAGATTCTTTTAATATGGAATATTTATCACACTATAATAATGATTTTATGAGTATGTACACGCCAGGCGTCATAACTTTTTCATTTCACATGTTGAATAGTATCATTTAGTAAAAAAAATCAAAAAAAAAAAAAAGAAAGAATGAAAGAAAGAAAGATCGTCTGGGGTTTGAACCTGGAACCTCTCACTTGCTAATCATACCCCTAGACCCAGAGGCACCTTATTAAACAGCAAATAAAATGCAACCATTAGATCACATATAATGTTTATATTCAAGTTCGATATTGTCAAAATTTTACAAAATATATGACGTCTTATTTAGCTTTTACTAAACAGTTCTAATAGATGTACTTAGAACATAAAGACACCAATAACCTGTATTATACGTAATAACTCTCCACATGCCGCTGCACTAAAAATAGTGCCAAGCGACAAGTACAATAAATAAATTAATTTAAAACGGGGTGGGGCACTTTGAGAGGGACGAGAGAGGCCATAGGGAGTTATGGTATAAAATTTCATTGCAAAAGCTCAAAAGCTTCTTGAGATATCGCCCGGAAACGAAAGTGTTACACACAGAGGGAACGTATGAATTTACGACCTTGAACTTTGACCTTTTGATCTCAAAATCAATAGGGGACTTCCTTAGGCCACAGAGAGTTCTTATGTAAAATTTCATTCCAAAAGCTCATAGGATTCTCGAGATATCGCGCGAAAACAAAAGTGTTAAAACAGAAAGATTTTATGAATTTATGACCTTGACCTTTTGACTTCAAAATCAATAGGGTTCTTCTTTAGGCCATAGGGAGATGCTATGCAAAATTTCATTGAGAATGCTCAAAGGGTTATCGAGATATCGAGCGGAAACGAAAGTGTTACAGACAGACAGAGATACAACTAGACGGACGGACAGACAGACTGACGGACGGACAGACAGACCCAAAATAATATCCCCCACTTTCAGTGAAAGCGGGGGACAAAAATGGCCAATACCTTTTTTCATATTATCTACTTTATCACCGCAAGGGGAGTGCAACTTCATTTGAACCTGCATTCTGATATGCAGAGGTACATTGATATTGGCCTATAGCTTTTGTAGAATTAAAAGTAAGGAGAGATAGGCATACCAACAGATGGACACACGACCGAAACATTTCACGAGAAAGACTCAACTGAGTTTGTTTTCAGGTAAGCTTAAAAGAGAATAAAAATATTTATGATTTGTAAATGAAATGTTTTATAAAAGCCAGTAAATATTTATAAAATACATTTGTAAGTAGACATTTTTTCATTAATTTTGGTGTATTTCTTGATAAAAATAAGTAGAAAATGTCTATTGACTTACCTGCACAAATACATGCAATCAACAGGCACAGGTGTTTAAACCTGTGTAACTGCCTGTTCTAAAATTTACCCCTTTAAAACGAAAGTACAACGTGTTATTCTTATTGATATCTCAATGTATACAAACCTGAAAGCGTCCTAGTTGAGAAATATATTATAGCCATAGGACAGTTTTAATAAGTTACTCAGCAGGTTTTTATAAGTTTTCTCATATTATACATGTAATTTCCGGAGTTATGTACAGTGTAGTTGCATTTTATTTATACACAGCACAGAAGGGTGACGTACACTGCATTTGTCT